ACCTCCTAGTGTGCATGGGGAAAGAAGCTCGGTAGATGGTACACAGTTAAGCTCCCATCTATGCAAAAAGGTGTGTGTGTGCACGCATGGTGCGGATGACAGGACAGGGGTGGGAAACCTGTGCTTGATTTCCAGCTCCTCTCATTGCTTCTTGCCCAGACTCCTCGCTGGGTCTAATGGGAGTTTAACCTGAGGACATCAGGTCTCACCTGCTGCTTTTCTCCAACAGCAGCTGTTCCTCAATTAAGCCTCCAGGGCAAGCAAGAAGGACGAACAGATGCATCCTCATGTGAAGGACCACCAAAGCCAGCCAGGAGCAGAATTCAGGGGTCGTCCTGATGACTTGCTTTGAGCACTGACTCACTCACGCCACAGCAAAGCTGCGTAGACCAAGCACTCAAGAGTGGAGTGCACCTTGACTAGGAGCAAGGGCACCACAGCATTCTCATGGCTTCAGGCCAGGCTACATATTACACTCACCAGGGCTCTTGAGACAGAGAAAGCTGGAAAGCAGCAGGAGCGGCTTCCCTTTTTTCACCTGCTGCTTAGCCCTCTTCATACCCTTGCTTCTCCCTTTCTCCTTATATCCCAACAAGGAACCCAACAGGGCTTGAGGACTTCCATTTTGTCTTCACAGCAACCCTGTGAGATAGGCTGGGGTGAGTCAGTAAATGGTCCAAAGCTACACAAGGAGCTTCTCGGCCAACTGGGGAGTAGACCCAGTCTTCCCAAGTCCCAGTCCAACGCTCTCACCACAGCCACACCATCTGCACACATGGACAGGTAGGCCAAACGGCAGCCATGGCTGCTTCTCTACCGGGTGTGCAGCCTCCCCAGCTTTTCTGGACCTTTGGGGGGCAAATGCCTTCAGAATTCTCACAGGGCTGAGCTGCCTTTACATGAGGAACCTGACATGTAGCCAAGAGAACTGAGACTGGCCCAGGTCAGGTCTGAATGGCTCAGCTCCATCCCTCCGCCTTGCCTTGGGGAAAACTCTTCCTTTCAAAGGCAGAAACATCCGGCTACCTTGCACATCCTCGTTCCATGGGCATGCACACCCACACACCCATTCAAAAAGTTCACCGCTTTTGGTTCAAAGCAGTCTCCCCCTCCCTCTACCTCTCCCCTTGGAATAAAACAGCAGAGGAAAAAAGAAGGCATCACCATGCTAGGGCCAGTTTATGCATTCAGCAGAAGGAAGGGGTAACATTTTTCCTGGAGTAAACAGCTAAAATGGAAATAAATATCCAGCCACATGCTCCCGTAGATGGAAGGCTGGCATGTCAGAGAGGTCAAGTTAGCCTTCTTTCAAGAAAAGCCATTGTTCTATATGCAGGGGAAAGTATCAAATAACATGAGGACTTGGATCTTGCTGAATGTATAAAAAAGTGCCAAAGAAACACCACTAGGGAGCAGAGTGGCAGAAAAGGTTATAGGTTTTTTCCATATGTCAGAGGAAGCGCATTATTTCTCGACGCTTATCACACACAAATACACCTATTGCGGGTTGTCCTCTCTGGTGACAGGCAGCATGCAGGGGAGATAAAAACACAAAAATGGGGGAGATGGGAATCGATGTTAGAGAACAAAGTAGCCATGCCACAGCGCCCCTATAAACGCACCCCAGAAGTTCGCCTCTCTCTCTCTTTGCAGGGGAAATATAGGGGGACCCTCCACGCTTAACCACTGTGGCTAAGACTACAGAGGGCAGGAGAGGAATGGAAAGGCCTGCTCTAACTACTGCACTGCACTGCACTGAGCTGTGACCAGGCAGGAGAATAATGGATCAAATTAGAGATATGGGGATTAGGCAGGGAGTGGGATGAGACGGGGCAATCCAAACAAGTGGCAGCCCTGCCGTATCAAGAACTCGGAGGCAAAGCCAGTTCTCCCCACTGCTGCAACACCAATGGAGGAAGCTGCACCTGTAGAATACCAGCCTCCTACACAGTTCTGAAAAAGCAGAACTACCGTTCTTTTTGCAATGTGATTGATCAAGCATTAAACCAGATGTGGGGTCAAGTGGAGTCCTCAGATGTGGTCAGATTTCACTTCCCATCACTTCTGACTGTTGGCTGTGCTGGTTGGAGCTGCAGGAACTTGGAATCCAAGGAAGTCTGGGGTGCCCAGGCATCCCCATCCAGTGGCCCAGGTTATCCACTGCAAGAAGAGAGGGCAGTGGCCCTGACTGGAAGGCATCCAGCAGAAATCAGCGGTCACCATTGTTAACTGAACTTTCAAGGCCCGTGTGATTGCAGGCTGGGGCACAGATGACCAATTGTGTGCACAGTCACAATTCGGCAATAAATCAAGATTTGCACATAGGTGTAATCAGGCCAGTTAAACCTGGACAAGGGATATGTGTGGAATCTGATGCGGGGCATGAAAATCAAACAGCATTTCACAATGTGGTCTGCCAGATTCTAGTTCCCCAGCTCTGTGCTGCTGCTGACGTACCATGGTATAAATTCAGCTATTTTGCAGACTTCTGCCTGACTGCATTATGAAAGTCTGCCGATGAAATCTGCGCAAAATCAACCAGTCTGTGCCAAAGACCACCAGTTATACACACTGAGTGATGTGCACAGATGTCCCCATATCTGCATAGCCCTACCCTGGACCTGACAGACCTCAAGCAATCTTTTTGCAAGAATTCCCTTGGAGAACGCACATTTGCTTCAGGAGGTTTTAAGACTGGAAAGGCAGGGCCAGGACGTTGCAGTTCTCATGTTTCATGTATCAGACAAAAACAAAAAAGGAAGGAAGGAAGGAAGGATGACAGAAAACTCAGGGTGACATGTTGTTTTGTCTCAGATTCCTTCCCCCTGGTGACAGGGGATAATCCATTCCTGGTTGGCCACAACAACATCTTGATGGCAATTGAGACGAAAACGATGCAGCGAAAGCATGGCCGAGTTTACTGAGGGAGGCTGATAGGCAATGGCTTTCCTACGCAAAGGTAGTTTTTTGTACGTAGACTCAAATCGTTTTTATGTTGCTGAAGCAAAAAGCAAGCAGTGTTGCACTCCTACCCTTGGTCTCCGGGGTCTCTAATGAGAAAGGTGCTATGTGCACGAGACAGGAATTGTGTGACGTCCTCACAGATTTTGAATTTGTTCAAAAAGAGGGTGAGTTGGAGCCAGGGGGAAAGACTGGAAAAGACAGAGAGAACTGACCACTATCTGGTGATTCCTGAAGCACATCTGCGAAGACAGACAGAGGAGGTAGCAGAAAAGATACAGATGAGAAACTTGATGTGTGTGAGAGAGGAGGACAGGACCATGTGGAACATTGGACATTCCTTCCACATCAACAGAAGCCTACAAGTAGCAGGAATACAGAATTTTTTGGTGGGTTGGAGAGAGAGCGTGTCACTGGCAAGCAAAATAAAAGTACATTGTCTATGCTTTTAAAAAAGTGCACCTAAAGGTACAATCCTATGCAGGTTTAGAGGGGGAAAAAAGTCTTACAATTCCCATCATCCCACAGCAAGCACAAACCTTTTCTATCTAAATCTGTTTAGGATTGCATCTGTATGTTATTATTTAGAAGTGAAATTATTATTTTGGGGTAATTGAAATAGTTTTTAAAATTATTTTAAAGGAAAAAATAACATGTTATTTTGAAAGAAAAGCAACCCATGTGGGGATGGGTTTCTGATCTGGGTGGGGCCACTGTGCCAGCCACTTCATGGGGAATCCCATGCCCCCAGAAGGCTTCAGTTTTCCTCTGCGGGGGTTGATTTATATATAAAGGGGAACAGCATGGCTGTTAAATTAAAGAAGCCTGGACAATGCAGGGTGTGTTTCAGCTGTGAGAGAGAAAGATGTGACAGATTAGTGGCAGGTATGTACTCCCAACACAGCATGAACGAGGCACCTGAAACAACAGCTTGACCTCAGTGGGAGGCAATGTAAAGTTTCTTTCTCCATGGAAAAACCCCCATGTATCAAAGCTTTGCTACTTTTTAGAGTCCCAGGGCCCACATCTAAAGCAAATCCTAATCTTGCAAGCAGGAAGGACAGAAGCACAGGAAGAACACAAGAGAAACTCTGAGTGGCACCAAGGGGGAAGGAGAGAGGATGGAATGAAGAATGGAGGGAAGGACGGAGGGACAGACGGAAGGAAATGGCACCTGAGGAGGGAGCGTGTGTGCATCTGCTCAGAGTAGACAAGTCTTCAAAAGGAGGCGAATGGTTACGTGTGCACCGGCAGACACACTTGCTGGTTGGCACAAACACTTCAGAGTTTTGTGGCGCTCAGTGGAAAGGGGAACTGCTAGTCCTGGTGCAGCTGGGAGTGCAGATGTGTGCAAGGGAAAAGCTGCCCGGGGCGGCAAAGGCGGGGAGATGCGATGTGCGGAGAGAAAAGCGTGACATGAAGGAAGTGAACAGAACAGGGTGGGAGGTTGCCAAGGAAGAGAGGGCCAGCTTCCCTCACTTTATCCTGGTCACATTAAATGAAGGAGAGAGAGAGAGAGAGAAAAGACAGCTGTTGTGTTAATTGCCTTAATGGCCGTTTTGATGATACATTTGAAGTTATGGCATGATGTAAGATGGCTGCAGGTCATGAAGGGAAATTTCACAGCCCACAGAAGGGTGGAGGAAGACTCTCTTCTCTGCCCACCCATCTACTCTGTGTAGTTATTTTTTTAACTGTTGTATTCCAGATTGTTCAATCAAGTATCAAAATGAAGACCAGATGTTCTTCTAGACGGAGCATCTCCCTGCATTTCTCAGAGGTCGGATCCTGTCTCCCAACTGGGATGTCATTAAGTCATTTAAGATCTGGGTCAGGTTCTTATGGATCTGCTCTCATTAGATGATAAATCTAAAGGTGAATCACTACATTCACTCCAGACTTTGCTATCCTTGCCCTGTTGTAATTAAGGGGTCCTTCTATTCACTTTGCTGAGTGGGGCCCTTGGCCCTGGCCCCCAAGTCCTGTCCCGAAGCCCCGCCCCCCACGCCAACCACTGCTCTCAGATGCCTGCAGGGCACTTACAGCGTCTGATAGGTGTTGTCCTTTGATCGGAGGAACTTCACCACAAAAAATATGACCGCTTGGAGGCTGAGCACCAGGACAATCCCTCCGATGAAGCTGGCAGAGTCGAAGCCCGGGGGGCGGTACTCGGGGGTGCCGGTTAGCGGGGGGGTAGCTGTCGAACCTGAGGGAAAACCAAGTGAGAGGCCTGTGAGGCCAAAGGCTTGGCCACAGGGGTCTTGCATGCACCTGCCTCCCGTTTACCTATCCACTCCCTCCACCCTGGTCTCCTTGTTTAATTCTACATCTGCATTTCACACCAGGACAAACAAAACCCTGGCAACAAACAGCAAATACATTCTTCACCCTGAATAAATGATCGGCCAAAAATGCGCTCATACCTCAAGAACTCCACCCTGTCCGGATGCAGGAGCAGAGATGATGGAGCTGCTCCACCGACCAAGATGGAGAGCCATGCAGTGCAGCAAACCAGGAGCATGGAACTCAGGCCCAGTAAGCACTTCGATCCAAAATAAGCTGCGTTTCTGTTTATTTTTGTTCCCTTTCCCCCTCAGTCCCAGTCACCCCAGGAATGCAGTCCCCCAAGAACGTCTCCAAAAGCGAATTCAGCTGAAAGAGGCTTTCCACCCTTGCACAAGACACACAAAGGTATATTTGGTTTGATTCGTAGTGGATCCTTGTTATGGATTATGCATGGGGGTTCTGATGGGTTATATTGCCGAGGTTCTACTGTAATTGTTCTGTTTGGCTTATATGTAAGGTTTTGTTGTTGTGATTATGGAAGTTTGTAGTTTTAATTTACTGCAAAATAAATTAAAGTCTAAATAAATTAGAGGTGCTCTTTCAGGGCATCTGATTCTACAATCCACCTACACTGGCACATGTGATTTTTTTCTGATCTATCCACGCTACATCCATGTTTGATCCCTTGTGGGCCATGAAATTTATTTCACAGCATCAGTTCTTGTCTTCTCAGAAGTGAAGTTCCTTTCCCCAAGGATGATCGCCCATCTCAAATAGTTGATTCCCTATCGCACGAGGCCCCTGCTGACCATTTAGAAGCACAGTGTGGGCAGGATCTGGATTTGCTTGTCATTGTTTCCTCCTTTCTTATTCAGCTTCCTGACGTGTCCCATGCACGGATGGTGCTGGACAAATAACAGCTCTTCCCCGGCAAGCTGAATCCCCAGGACACCTTCGTGCAGGCTCTGTCCCCTGCCTTGGGTGAAGGATCCCTTGTGAGCTGCGATAACAAGCCAAAGAGCCCTTTAAGGAAGACTGGGAGCTTTGCTGATGGTGGAACAGATTATAGGGTGCTGCTGCGGATGTTCTCCATCTTGTGAGCCAAGCCTCCATCTTGTCTGGCTCAGATGAAAAGCCTGACTCAGCAGAGAAGATGAACCAGGGACACCTCAGAATATCGACACCAATTAATGAGCAGCTGTTTGCTATCAAAGAGCATGACAAGGCCAACACCACATTCCAAGACCTCACTAGCTTATGTTCCTGTGAGAATCTGCCAGCCCTCCCTGCGTCCCTGCTTATCAGTAAGTTGCTTAGCTACAGCTGGACTTGCTGCAGCAGGAAACTTTCAGGTTGTTTAGTGCGCAGGGCGTCATGGCATCAGCAGCAAGAAGCGCATAGCTGGGCGCTTGGCCCGGCCTCCCTTTGTTAGACACTGTCATCTCCCAGGCAGCTTTGCTGACTGTCTGTTCCAGCTGACTGAAGCTCACCTTGCAGTCCAGTTCATGCTGTGTGCTGTAAGTAACCTGCTGCTAAATGCTTTTGAAAGCTAGCAGACATCTATTTTATGCAAAATAAAGAGCCTTCCTTCTTGCAAGTACACCTGAATCTTGCACATCATCTCAAAGAATTCCTCCAGCTCACTGCAGGGGGACAGCAAGGGGCAAGACGTGGAGGGGAGGTGCAAAAGGGGCTTGATGCCTGGACCTCCTAGCCAAACAAACGGCACCCTTCACAAAATGCAAAAAGTGAGAAGCAGCCCACCTTTCTCAACAGCCCGTGTGCGGGGCCACCGGCCCACCGGTCCCCCCTCCCTGGCCAGCCTCCCAGCAGACCAGCCTTCCCTAGGCTGTTGCGGTGAAAGACTTGTGAATGAACGGAACAGGAAGGAGGAGGGCTCGTGCTAGGAGAAACAGAGGATGAGCCGAAGCGATGCAACAGAGAGGCCGCGGTGGATGCCAAGCAGAAATCTCACGCAGAGATAAATGAGTGCACAACTGCCCACTGGGAGCCTGCACTGGATCAATAATTCACAAGGCTTTGGGATAGAGTTACTCGCTTTAATTAGCCCTAAGCTCTTCCATTCCTGCTTTCGTTTCCGCAGGAAGATTCACGCTCCCTGAGCACGGATGCGCACGCAATCCATCTCCCTTGCGCTGCTGAAGGAGCCAGCCTTTTCCACACCGTTCCTCTGGCCTACCTTTTTAAGCTTTCCCATCCAGGCAGCAGAGGTGTGGAAAAAGCTTCTCTCTGCAGTAGCAACATGATCTTTAAAAATTAACTCCCTCGATGTCCATCTGCAGTCTTACTAGGAACTGGGGGTCGGAGGAGGGAGAGTGGAAGCATCCGGTCTTCTCAGCTGCTGCTACAGCTGAAATCTTTGCAAAGGAGTGGCAGGTGGGCCACACGCCACAGCTGGTTGCTCTCTCCCCTTCCTCTCGCATCTGAAATGGGGATTTCAGCTCAAGCTTAAGAACTTGTTGACAAATTGACAGTGGGTGGGAAGGTGGTGGATTCTCAGTCATTAGATGCTCTAAAGTAGCAGCTGAGTGGTCCCCACCGGGATGCCAAACTCTGGCCTGGAGGAATCTGTCTATTTCGGTCCAGCTTGCTTTCACGCCTATTTGCTTACACATCTATTCTGTCCTGCTTCTGTGTTAAACTGTGAGGATTAAAAAAGTAACTCTGCACAAAGATGTGCATTTAAGTATGCGTTTTGGAGCGGTCTTCTTTCAAAGTATGCATTTTTAAATGCGCATTCATAATCTGGGACTCTAAACATTTATTTAAAATGTTTTAATAAATAAATAAAAATAAAAAAATAAAAAATAAACAATGTCTCAGCATCAGACATGCAAATCTGACAGCCCCAAGGTCAGGTCAGTTTGTACTGGAACTTATGGACAGCAAACTCCTCAAGCTTTCCTAGTTAACATTAACTTCTAAGGCAGAGGTTGGCAACTGGGAATGCTCTAGATCTTTTGGACTACACTTCCATCATACCTAACTGGGGCAAATGGATGCTGTAGTCCAAAACATCTGGAGGGATTATTAGCAGTCACTTTGCAAGCCATGGTTTAGACATGCCCTAACTTGGGTGCCCACTGGTTGCATTGAACTGCAGTGAGCCACAGCCATTGACCATGCTAGTCGGGGAAGATAGGAGCTGTAGTCCAACACAGCTGGAGGGCACCCAGTGAGAGAAGGGTAGCTTATTCAGATGTCACAAATAGCTGCAGTTTGTGCAATCCAGAAATGGAACTGAAATATGAGAAAGGACGAAGAAAGGTATATGAGAGCATGAAGCCCACTGCATGTTCAGATAATTTTCATGGGATTCCTGAAGGCGACTTATTTTATATTGTTATTTCTAGTATTTTAATTTTATGTTGTGAGCCGCCCCGAGGCTTCGGCGAATGGGGCGGCATAGAAATGTTTTAATTAATAAATAAAATAAATAAAAAATCCCTAGCCACCAAGTAACAAAGGCGCAGCCACCACTGAATATGATGGAGAGGTAGGGGTAAATCTGCCGCAGAACGCATCTGGCCACAGAGCCGGACAAGTTCCAAAACAAGGCTAAGCTGACACTTCTGTCCTTCAGGCTTAGAATATCATGTGTCAGATATTCAGTTCAGATCAGAGCATCAGAGAGTCAACTGGCCCTCTGCAGCTGCAGCGCTTAGAATTGTCTGGTGCAGAATCTTTTAAACATTTAAATTAAAAAGTTAAAAGCCTACTTAAAAATTGAAAACCCAACAAAGCAATCAAGCCAAATAGTAAGACCACAGAACAGCAGCAAGGCAGAAAATATAGAAGGAAGGAAAAAACATTGTCAGACCTACCGGACAGCTCCAGCAGGGAGTGCTTTGGCTCCCCCTTCTGAGAGCTGCAAGTGGGCCTGCCGGCCATTGCTTCCTAGGAAGACCGTTCCACAGAGAACTGCAGCATGGGTAGTTCCTGACCCTCACAGCCACAGAGCCAAGTTCAAATGAGGACAACCCCACCTCATCACAGGGCTTTCTCCTGATGACCTCAATGCATGGGCTGGGTATGCATGGAAAGCCCTGCTTTTGTGGGATGCCAATTTATGTATTTATTATTATATTTCTATTCTATCATTTTCCCTCTTGCAAGGAACCTGAGGCAGCTTACATAATCCCCCACATCTCATTTTATCCTCACAACAACCCTTTGAGGTAGGTCAGGCTGAGAGTCAGTGCCTGGCCCAAAGTCACTCAGTGCGTTTCGTGCCTGAGAGGGGAATAGAATCTGGTCTCTCAGTCCCAATCGGACAGACTAGCCACAGCTCCATACCAGCTCTCACACCTCACAGGAGTCCAACAGGTATCCATAGAGTCAGTACTTTAATTGCTAGGTGTGTGCTTTGCAGGGATGCTCAAGCGGGTGCCTTCCATGTGGCCCACACAGTTCGATGCATGCAGGAGACCAAGCTTCACCAGCAGGCGAGGCTGGGGAAGACTCCAGCTGGAAAGTGTGGGCATCCTTGCAGCCAGTGCAGAAAAAACGGCCAGTGCAGAGCAGAGGCCACCTGTGCGATCCTCCCTTGCAGTCGCAGAGACGAGTGAGGCAGCAGCCCGCATTTCCATTGTGCCGGCAATGGGTCCCCGCTGCCACGTCGCCATTAGCTCAAAGGAGCGACAAGTGCCGGATCCTATCCCTTTCTCAGGGGCTCAAGAAGGATCCCATCCCAGGGTGAGATCGATGACTCCCCCTTCCTTCAGGAGGAAGGCCGCTAAAGCAGGACTGCCATCTCTCGCTCGAACTATTTTTAAGTGAGGGGCAATGAAGCCATCGCTATTTTAAGGGAGGGGAAAGTGAGGCGCTGAGGATTATTTTACGAAAGGGCAGCAATCCGCTTCTGGGAGTGTGTGATGCACACAGTGGAAGGGCTTAATAAAGAGAAGGTTGCCCGGGGCATAGGAAGCACCTTTAAAAAGCTACTCTGCATTCACCTCGTGATGCACCCACGGTCTGCAGAAGCTGCCCACGTGGCTCCAAAGACAGCACCCTCCACGTTCCAGGACTTCTCCAAGGCAGGCACACTTACCTGGTGTGTGGATCTCCGGCTCCTTAGTCTGTGGCTTTGGAGGCGCTTTAGTGGTTGTAGGTGAATGCTCCGTGGTGGGTGTGGGTGTTTGTGGTGCTGGAAGAAAGATCATCCAGAGAAAGAAAGTCAACTCATATTTCTTATCTGCACCCTAAGTGAGCTGCTTCAGATATATTAAGACGGTCAATCAAGAAGTGCCATATTGAGGAAGTAACCTCAGGGTTGTGCTGAGAATCGAGCCCACACACCTGTCTGAGACTTTCCCGGGAGCACTGCACGAGGCAACTCTTGGCGGCAAACCCCAGGCCATTCTGAGTAATCCAAGCTGGCTTTCTTTTGCTTCTCAGTCCTGCACTGAACACTGGACCCCGCGGCTCCTCTGCTGTGCTCTTCCATTAGCAGGCAGCAGGGCTCTCTCTCCGAGACTGCTAGCTGTCCATCCGCAGCACCTTCTGCTGGCAGAACCTCGTACGCACTACCTGTTCTATGCCAGCCTGGGCAACTTCGGCACTCCACATGGATTGCTACAGAACTCTCATTCGTCGCTGTTATGTACCATCAAGTCCTCTCTGACTTGTGGCAACCCGATGGAGGGCTGTCCCCCAAAACATCCTGTCCTTAACTGCCAGTTTCCTTTGTCATTGATTATGCGGGCTAGGTCTGATGGGAACTGTAGTCCAAACCACCTGGAGGGCCACAAGTTGCCCACCTCTGTTCTAAGTTTAGCGTTTCCTAACCTGGTGCCTTCCAGATGTGTTGGATATCTGATATTTGCAGCTACTGAGGCCAACACATCTGGGTGAAAGCAGATGGGGGAAGGCAGCTGCAGGTCACTGCCTTGCAGTGCCTGGGTCTTTATTTCATTTTCAATCAGTTCTAGGCTACTTGAAAGGGTGGAAGCCTTTCAAGGTGGCAATCAAGATAAAAGCCATGCAGAACAGAATCAATAAACATTGAAGAAATATATATTCATTAAAAGTTCCTTTAAAACAGTTATCATTGTTTTAAAATATTGATAAAAACAAATACAATCCATAAAACCCAGCAGCCCAAGACTTTGCAGGAAAACCAGAGAAAGCAGGTGAGTCTTTGGAGCTTACTTGAAGAACTGCAAATAAGAGGCCTGGGCATCCCAGTGATTCCAGCAGTGCAGGGACCACCCCTAAGAAGGCCCTGACTACTACCTGCAAAGTAGCTGAGCTGCAGTATAGGCAGTAGCCTTTGCAAGCCCCCACAAACACTTTTTAGCAGCAGAAAAGATTACCTTCACACATTTTGGTGACATTGAAAAATAAACACTTTTCCTTGGCTGGTTCTCCCTTTCTCACACAGCTCCCAGTGCCTAAAAATGAAGAAAAAAAACATGTAAAAGAGAGCAATAAAAGCCCGATGAAAACCCAAACAGGCTTCCTTCAGTCCTTTTTAGTTCGCACTGTGGAGTGGCCAAAGGCAAACCCTCTTTCAATTATAGTATGGTTAAGGTCTCATGGAGAAAGAAGATGTGGCTGCAGGTCACTGGATCTGCCCTCCCCACCCCCCATCCTGGAAGAAAGTCTGAAAAGGAATGCCTGCATTTGTCAAAAAGCTCCCAGCATGATCAGGCTCCATTCCACTTCCCCCGGTCACCTCTCCCTCTTCCAACAGATGGCCAGCAGAGGGATCATAAAGAGGTTTGGGCACATACCCTAAGGAAGACAAAACGGCATCCTATGCACACCCATTGCGCCCCGACCACTCGTACCGGCTTTGATCTTGCAGCTACAGCCAGTTGCTGCGGCAAGTTATACCACGAAGGCACTGAAGCCCAGCTCCACCTTGGCCACCCCTGCCCAATCGTAAAGAAGAAAACCAGCTTTCAGGACATGCTCTGTAGCTCTTGCCATAGAAACCTCATTCCTAGAGCATCCTAAGGAGCAGGCTTAACCTTCAAACACTACTTCCTGGGATGCGCTAAGAACAAGGCTTCCACAGGAGGACCGTACAGCCTGCTTTCAAGAGTCTTCCCCTTCCTCAACTACCGACACTTCTTTCCGCACTGAAAGACGCCATGAAGGTGTCTTGGGGAGTTATCCAATTTCTGGATGGAGGAAAAGCAGCAGCCACAGGACTGGGACCGAAGGCTCAGCTGCACCACGGTGCACCAGTGGCCACAAATTGGGCTGCTTAGCCGAAATCATGGCCAGGCCCCATCCTCGCCTCCAAATCTTTCTCCTCGTTGGCTTCACATCCCAATTTGGCCATCTTCTTAGCCTAGGCTTCCCCTACTTGCTGCTCACCAGCTGTTTGGAAGTACAGCTCCCATCATCTTCCACCAGTAGCCACACCAGCTGGGGCTGACAGGCATCAGAGTCCAAAACATCTGCAGAACACCGGATTGCCCTCTGACCTTTGGGTGATGAACCTGCCTCGACCCACCTCTTTCAGCCAGCCCTTCTCCAACTTGCCTTCCCTCTTCTTAGCTGCCTCCTCCTTCCCCCAGATTCCTTCCATTGCCTCATAGCATGATGGGCATTATCTCCATATTGCCAACATTTGCATGGAAAGCATGCAGCAATATTTTGGTAAGCAAAAGCAATGTCCAGAGGAACAAAATGACATGCACAGAACCGGAAAGAGAATAAGCCAACCATGTTCTATCCAGGTCTTTAAGCAGAGCGAGAACACCTCTGAGGAAGAATGAAGCAAAATATTAACCAGGTTTGCAGGGCTGGACCTTTGAAATCTAACTCTAGTATTTGCCTCCATAAGTTTGCCTACCATCAGCACTGATTTCGAACCCCAGTGCTCTACAGATGAATGTTTACACTATACATCATTTTTGGTACTTTTTAAAATGGGCAGACACGTTATTCATGTATCAAACCAACACTTGCTTTCCAGCTGTCATGGAACTTTTCACAGCTGCAGAAAGCACCTGCAGCTTGCGGCTTGCAATCCCTCTACAAAGCGAGAAACTCGAATGCTGACAGAGAATTTGCATGGCCAGCTGTCCCTCCCTCAAGGCCTCTCTCCATCCTCCCATATGCTCCAGCTGCTGCTTGCTTCTACCCGCGAGCGTCCTCTGCGGAGAAGTGGTCATGGCTCAACGGGAGAGCACTGCCCTGCCTGCAGATGGTCCTGGGTTCAATCTTTGGCATCTTCAATTAAAAGGAGAAAAAAGTCAGTGATGGGACAGAGGCCTGGTGACTTGTGTCCAGTTAGAACATACAGAGGGTCTGATTTACTCTGGTGTTTCCTATATACCAGATTGGAACAAAACAATAATACACAGTAAACACTCATGTTGTGATCACACAGGGGAAAAGACGTAGGTTTGGGCCAATGAGTTCACTTTGGATAGATCCCACAAAGGTGCATCAGGCTTTGCAAGGTGAGCGATCCCATTTCTTCTTTCCTACTCACCTGGCTTCTCCGGGGACTCCTGACAGCGCATCCACACACAGTCTGTGATGTTGCGGGAAGCCTCGCCTTCAATGCACTTGTCACACTGCTCCAGCTCTTTGCACTCTCCTGCAAGACCAAAAGGGGGGGAAAACACAGACACAGAGATGGAGGTGGATTTCCATGCAATGAGTGTGAAACTCAACCCTGACGCACTGAAAGAGGTTGCGGAAGAAAACTCAGAGTTGTGCACTGGGTGAATTTGAGCTAGTCACTGTCTCTCCCCCAACCTACCTCATAGGGTTGTTGTGAGGATAAATGAAGAAGAGGATAATGTAAGCTGTCTTAGGTTCCTTCCAGGAAAAGAGGTGGGACATAAATATAATAGCATAAATAAATGAGATTTTCCACTTAGATACCATGGTTTGGATGAAAGATCTTCAAACTTGGGATGAAAGACCTACAAACTCATTTGCCAGCCCACTGCTTGCTGAGCACTGTCTTTGCCCTGAAGAGAGCATGGATTCGGAGCGGGGGGGGGGGGGGGGGGGAGTCCCTACCTGTCTTGCACGCCTGGAGAAGGGAACAAACACTCCTTGACTTCAGAAGCACCTTAGAGAGCGTTCCCTGTCGCTACATTTATTATTGGTTAACAGTATTTGTCTTCCACTTCTCAGCTGAATAGTCTCCAGGAGTGCCCTAGATACAATCAGTACAGCAAAACAGTTCCTGTTTGCAAGCCTGCAATCTAAACAACAAGGAAAAGGGAGGGAAGGGGAGAACCATGCCATTCGGAGCAGGGCTGGTGCGACAACCCTGCCTCCCTTCTCCCCTACCTCTGCAGGAAAAACTGGTGGTGATGCCAGGCGGTGGAGGAGGAGGAGAGCTGGCCTGAAATTCAGAGAAGGCTGCAGAGCCAGAGACGGCTGCTGACTTTCCTGCATCTGATGCTCAGTGCGGTGGGGCTGCGCTCCCATCTCTCTCATCCGCTGTGGCGGCTGCCCCCATTGCACTTATTGCAAGTCTAGCTTAATGTCAAAAGATCCTCTCACCTCTGCCTGGAGGGGGGCAGACAGAGTCACAGGGAGAACAGTTTTGGCTGGCCCCCCAGCTCAGCTAAGGTTTCACCCCCACTTTTCCTCGATCTATTATCTTGGGATTTGGTCACCAAGATCCACACCACTGGCCTTGTGGGAGCAGCTTCCCTTTGGATCCTCCTTTCTCTGAACAGCCATTCTAGCTGCTCTCAAGAGAAACAATGGCATCTTTGCAACTTATGTAAGGACTGGTTCCTGGATGTGCTTGCTGTCCCCTCCCCTCTCCACATCCTTGTGCTTCTGCACTGTGTCTATCAGATTCGCCTTCCTCCAGCAGGGGCCCTCCGGATGTGCTTGACTACAACTCCTAGCACGCCCAGGTAAGCGATATTGAACTGCGAGCCTGCAGGCAAGGACTGAATTGATTAAAACATGTATCTGTCCAGCACGGCTGAGCAGATAGCAGCCTTGCGAGATCTACTTTATGTTTTTCCCCAAGATCCTCCAAACAGAGGCTGATGCAAACAACATATATCTGTAATTCAAACAATTCTGAACCACGGACATTGTTCTGAGCTCTGGAACTCAGCGGAACTCATGGTCCTTTCTCACGAAAACCCACTCCTGGTTACCACAAGCTTTAATTTCAGCAGTATAATTTGGGGCAGGGGGGAGTTGCTTGGTTATTATTAAATAACGAAGATTCGAAAACCTTGACTACTGTTCATAAAATTATTGTGAGACCTACCAGTCAGCCCTGATCTACCATCTGCCCTTCTCTGCTTAATGGCATATTAAAAAAGGTGCTTTATAAAAATAGTATTTTTGCAGCTGCTACTAACAGCAACAAGAACGCTTGACAATCTGGGGACTCTATCATGCGACACATGCATTTACAAAGGCGGCTGCCAATCACAATATTGGCAACACGTTGGAATGGCAGGAAGTTGATCAGAGAGACTGAGCCAGATGTTGTGTGACTAGAAGGACAACTTCCTGGAGGGTCTGATGCATGCAGGGGAAGCTCATGTCCGACTTGCCGGTTTATGCATTGCATTGACCTCTTAGCAGCATCGCTGACACAAATCCCGGTTTGCCGCAGCATTTGGAAGCTTATTCTTTTACCAGTATTATCATGGCCCACCTATTTCCAGTGCTAGGCCTCAAGGCAGCTTACAGCATTAAAAACTTACAGAACTAAAACATTCATAGAAATATACTTGTGGTAAAAAGTATGGTTAAATCAGCTGGAGTATTAAAATGATATAAGTACCTGCACTAAAATAGCAATAAATCTGATATAAACAGTAAAAATGATATAGACAACAGCCTATAGCTGGTAGGTGACATTTGCCTGTAAAGAGCTTGTGCTTTGGCTTTGGGTTCAAGATCTGTGGCTGGACACCGGCAGAATGAAAACTGTCTATGCCCTCCAGATGGGCTGCGTGAGGGAAACTGGCCCCGGGCCAAAGCTCTGTAGCCCAGTGGGGGTTTGAACCTTGGTTTGCCAAATTACTGGAGTCCAGCCCTGACTGGCATTGGAGCCTCTTCCAGGAATAAGCAAAGGGAGCAAGCCCCTGCCTTCACCTTTACAAGGAACTCCAAGGAACCTCCAGGTCCCAACCTGGCAAGCAAAGGACCAGAGGGACTCCCTCCAGTCCCTGGAGTCCCGGCTGGCTCTCTGTGCCACCGCTTCTCCTACACCATTAGAACCACTAAAACAGAGGGGGCCACCCACTACTCAGGAACTCCAGGGCCACCAGCCGCGTGTCGTTCTACTTAGGAGGAAAGGAAATACAAGCAAGGACTTGCCCAGGTCTGGGCTTGACTAAAGGAAAGGAAGGGGTAGCGTTTTCAGCTGCTCTAAAAGCCCTCTCTCTGAACGGCATCACTGCTGAAGCAACATCTCCCTTGGTACCCCAAGCTCCAACGCAACGACTTCCTGAGCTGGGAAACGGACACAAGTTCAGGTCAAACACTCTAACCAAGGGGTGTAGATCCAGCCTGCCTGGGTCTCAGTTTAGCCCCTGGGGCACCAGTGAAGGCCGCTTCTCTTTTCCGGCTCACTGGTCCCTTTCCCGAGCCCAAGTGTCTTTTGCACGCATCCTTCCTCCATTCTAAAAGGAAGAAATACCTCTACCAAGGTGGAGTTACAAGGAGGCAGAGATGTAAGCTCGACTATCCTGGGGTTTTGAAAATGTTGCCTAGTTACCTTTGGGCCCACCCGCTGCTGCAATGCACTCCCAGCACCCTGAACATTTGCACTCACCCGGGCCAACTGCGGAGTGGGGGCAAGCATCCCTGCCGCCCCCCCTTCAAAGACAGCTCAGTTGTCACCGGCAAAGCAACTGAAAAACAGCTTCAGAAACAGTTGGCAGCCAAACAACTCCTGCCCAGCACCTGCCTCTCATGCAGCTTAGGGAGAAGAGCCATGACCCAGTTTACACCAGTGTAAATTTCCTTCTGTGTCCCCCCAAAATTCTGTAGCCTTTGGTGCAACCCCAGCCTCTTTGCCCTGAGCTGGATCTGGCCGGACCTGATTAAAACCTGCACAACACCTCCTCGTTTCCATTTCGAATGATCACAGTCTGCAGAGGAAGGCTTTGCATTTCTTTCCCCAAACTTCATTTTGTCAATACAGACAACACACTTCTTTCCCGTGCTTAGCATTCAGTCCCTGGCCCAGTCTTGCTTTTGCCGGTGGTGCAGCAGGAATTTGGGGGTAAAAGTACAGGGCCCACAGTCCAGGGCTGCCCGATAACCATTTGGAGCATGCCGGATGTTTCCGGCAGAGGCAAGCAGGCCCAGTGTCAGCTCCTGGACTGGCATGGACATCTAATATATCTCTATCTACAGGTGCATACCTGGTTGCAGGCGCTCATTTTAATACTGTACGCATCTTTTTCTACATTGTGGTCATTCCCAAGCAAACATGTTTTGCATCAGAACAAAAGAAGCAAACTTCATTCTATTCTTGGAGCCATGATGGTGTTCTGATTTCAATGATTCAGAAGGGTACTTCTTTTGATCAGGGTTAGCAAACAGGGTTAGTGTTTGTTTTGTTGCTACAAAAAATCAGGAATGTAGAAACAATTGTCATGCAGGGAACATTAAAGTGGGAGCAGCAGAGCAGCGAATTGTGCCCTGTGTTTCACAACTGAAATAATACACGTGACCTTCTAACCCTCCACCCCACCCCAATAAGACCTGGCTGCATCACCGCCTTGGGTTTTAAAATATTTATTCCAGTTGCATATTGGAGAAGAAGGGAGATGGAATGGTTTAACCCAGGAGTGGGGAGAACGTCGGTTTGAATTTACCTGCAAATCTCTCAGTGATTTCCATGAGACTGGTAAGGATATTTGACTCCTGACTCTCACCCTAATTTACAGAGCTGAAATGCCAGAAGTTTGGGGTACTTCTCAAGTGGATTTTTGCATGGAAGGACCGTTATAAGCTCTCTTTGGTGCTGATACTAATACATTCCTGGGTTCAGGATTCTTCAATTCTGCGTGTCAATCTTTCTGACTAGGCTCTGGATGTTGGATCTCAGGGTTCTAACAAACACCAAGGCTGATCCCACACACCTGATGCCTGCCCACCAGCACATGAAGCCCCCTCCACATTCTCTCCCTCCATCGGCAGATACATTAGTCTTAAATTTTATTTCTAATGAATGCCACTTGTGCATCGCAGCTCCCTCTGCACTCCTCTTATCCAGGCAGGTCTACTTAACAGGTCTACTTTCTAAAAATCCAAAACCAAAAACCACATGTCATAGCTTATTAATAGCAAATCCTTTGTTTTATCAAAGCTCCCCGGAGAATTCTTTCACTCCCCCATCAGAGATTATGCTTCCGCACAGAACTCAGCATGCCAATCAAAAGGGATTTAAAGGATGCCTTATTGGCTCACGTCCCTTCCACCTAGGCCCCTTGTTCTCCGGGTAAAATACATTGCTCTAATTGTACATACAAACAGGCAAAGAAAAGAGGAGGAAAATTTTTGAACTAGTTCGGGGAAGTGGATCAAAGAGGCTTGTGAAGATCACTGGACGGTCAAAGTGGCTGAAGTGGTGCCTTGGAAGAGAGGTTATGCTGTCTGCAGCTCTTCAGCTTAGAAAGGGCCATTAAAACAGGGAGGACATAATAACATGCACAAAATGTTATGTGGTGTGAAGAAAGCATTCTCTCTTATCATATTAGAACCCAGGGTCACTCCAACAAAGCTAAGTGGAGAAGAATTTGCAATGAATAGGAGCGAGGGGTCCTGGGAACTGCAGGCCAATAACCATACAGCCCAAAGCCAGCCTGGGAAGAAGAGCAAAGATTATACTAGTGTTTGATTATTTATTGGTAATGCATATGCATTAACCATGGTTAATTAACCATGTCCCTTGGGCCGTTCTCAATAAAAGCTAAAAAGCAGAAAAACAAATCAAGTGAAGTCCCAGACATCAAAGAGAACAGCTGATCAGTCACAGAAAGAAAGTTGCAGCAAAACAGCTAAGTTTAGCACAAACCCACAAGAGCAAAATGTAAAAAGAGAGCCTTAAAGCCCCTGAAAAAATGGAAATCCTAAAAAGCCGAACACCTACAAGACAATACTGTGGATACCTGGGTGAGGGTGAGTCCCTGTGGCAAGGGAATTCCACAACTTGAGTGCCACAACAAGCAGTGAGGTACCCCTCATAATGCTATATAGCATGTTGGACAACGCATTCTAACACTATCTATAATACAATCGGACCAATGGTTCCCCATACGAATCTGCCTGATGCCTATACCCAGAGGAGAGGCACCACAGTGACTCTGCCTTCTAAACCAGACAGGTGGTTACCTAGAGCACGGCTTGTTTGTGATGCCTGCCTGGGGAATTCCCTCCATGAGAAACTTTGTGCCACCTCTTTTCCTGTCTCTAAGGCAAGTCTTTTATTCATTTATTAAATTCATAGCCTACATTTCCACTAAAAATAGTGCCCAGGGTGGCTAACATACAGGTAACATGAGGAAGTTATAATTAAAACACTTGTCAACCCAACACACATGGATGCGTTAAGGAGAAAGAAATAAACAGATTATAACCCACCCACAGGATTAAAAGTTACGCCAGCAAGAAGTGAGTTTGAAGGGCAACCCAGTGGGGATTGCCCAAACTCCAAACTGCCAAGGATATTTTATGTCAGCCACTTAACTACAGTGCTCCGGGTAGGGAAGGAAGGAAACAGAAGCCCTTCCAGGATTCATTACAGATACCCTGATGGACTCAGTCTCCCCTTCACCCCTTCAAAATACCCTCTTTACCTTCTCTCCGAGGTCAGTCTTACAACCTTGGAGAAACAGCTGGCCCAGTTCTCTCCAAGATGGTGGTGTGCAAGGGAGGAAGGTGATCTGAGCACAGATCCCCAGCTTTTCCCCAGCCTTGGACCTGGGACTCTGAGGCCTCCGGATGTGTTCAGACGCCCTCCAGGGGCCACAGGTTCACTCTGCCCAATGCCACGTGCCTGCATGAGGAAAAAGCTTCTGCACCTTTTGGTGGAAGAGTGGGATAAACGGAGCTAGTCAGCAAGGGACCCGAGAAGCCCTCTCTCTGTTTCTACTGCCATGATGCCAGGGCAGAGTCAAGCGCAGGGGTGATGAGAGCCCCTGGTTCTATCCATGATTCAGGTCGCTTTGTCTGCAGCATGTCACCTGATAAGGACTTTAGCACACAGGAAAGCTCATCAAGGAGAATCTGATCTTTCAGATAGCCTGGTCTGAGCTCATGCAGGCTTCATAGATCGGAATCAGCACTTGGTATTGTCCCAGAGGTGGACCCATAGCCAGGGATGCAGTTGTCATAATGGAAACCTCCTCCAACTGGTCCTATTCAGTTATCCGACTGCAGCATCCTGGACCACAGGACTTCTGAGCATCATTCAAAGGCAGCCCTGCATAGAACAAGTTGCAATATTCCAAATGTGGCCAGAAGTGATCTAGAGGAAAGCCAGTGAGCTGGTTCACACACCACGATAAGCCACCCTGAAATAACCCACAGTAGGTTGCTTGTTTGCTGGCCAACCCACATTCTTCCTAACAGAGGATTACCTGCAACATGGCTTCCTTGCTTTGGCTTGTTTTCTTGTTAGGCCTCTTGCAAGTACCTGGGCAAGTATCCCATGAACTTTCACACAACAAAATAGCGGGGGGGGGGGGGGAGAGATGGCCATGATCTTTGTTGTTGTCACTTTGCTTCAAATTTTGTATTTAAAAATAGTTGCAGAATGGATTAACCTTATTTACATTGACCCTTATGGGGAAATTTGATTTGGGTCACAGCCAATTTGGGTCACGACCAGAGTCCCGAAATGGATTAAGTTCATGAGCCAAGGTACCACTGTATGTGGAAATTTGCCAAACACAGTAATTATCATGCTTCTTTAAACAAGAAAGCATAGCAGCTACTGTGAATTTCTCAAATTTCCCTGAGAAGTTTTTTTTTTTTTTAGTTAAAGTTGCACAAATATCTCTGAAAGTTAAAAAAGACAGATTTCTTTAAAGCACCAAGGATATTTGCACACATTGGACTTATGTGATTTGCACAAATGGGAAGATGAAAGCCATGTCTTCCTAACACAATTTGCACAAATTATGCGGATGACATCATTGCCAGCTTCATATTTGCACAAATCATGTGATACACCCATGCAAATTCCACAATTTGCACAAATTTCCTTAACATTTTTAAAGAAATGCAAAAATCATGGCTTGTCTTAGAGGCAGACGTCCGCAAAACCAAACCAAACCAAACCAAACCAAACCAAACCAAACCAAACCAACCAGAACTTGGCTGGCTTCTGCTCATTGCATCAGAGGTGAACAGGAAATCAGACAAACTCAGATGAGCCGCATTTCCCAGCATTGGCACATCCCATTTTTTTGCTGCTATTTTTTATATCGTTATTGCTGGGTTTATAGCAATTGATTTCATTTTAATTGCAGTCCCTTGGAGGGTTTGAAGAGGTGGTATATCGTAACATTAGTTATCATTAGCCCTTGCAGATGCAGGAACAACAGCAGCAAAAGAGGCAGCATGCTGATCCTATAAAGAAATAAATGAAAAAAAGAGGTGCAGTTTTGGGTGCAGTTGCCAGACAAAAGCATTCGGGAGCATGCGGGGCTGAGGCACATTTAGTGGGAACACAACTCAGTACAAAATGTCCATGCAGTCCCACTGTCTGCGGTCCACATGCGCACGCACACACAAGAGGAACACACAAGAGAGGACTCCCTCAGCTCCGGTGCCTAGACTCTTGAACACGGATACAAACACCCACACAATGAAACAGGTATTTTCATCCTGAATGGTGAATAGGGAACGAAGGGGAGGTAGCACTAGAACACAAATGGTATGGCCTTGGGAAAGCAGCCCAAGAGACTACGTGGAAAGAGAAAACAATAGAACTGGGCAGCACAGAGAACAAGTGGGTTTGCTCGCTATACAGCAGAGACACGAGAGCTGAACAAGCAGCTGCCTCAAAGCAAGCAAGCCAAGCCATCAGATCATCTGATCCAACGTTTTCTGCTTTGTTGACTGGCAGTGAGTCTTCAGGGGCACAGGCAAGTTTTGGTCTGGCATAGCCTGGAGATGCCTGGGCTTCAACTTGCAACCTGCTTGCATGTGAAGCAGACAAGGAATCTTTTTGCAAAATGTCACCTGCTCCTCCAGCTCGACTCGCAACGCATGTGTGCGCGTCTCAGTGCGTGTAGGAGGTGGCAGCATAGAGAGGAGGGGTTTAGATTTAAGGGCCTGAGAAGGCTTGGGGCTTGTACAAAAGCAACAGGGTTCAGCCAACTCAGACTGCAGGCTTTGGCACTTCTCAGAAAGGTGAGAAAGCAGCTATTTAATGGACTCATTAGGGAAGAGTTAACAGGCACCAGAAGCATCTGTTTTGGAATGAATCATCCCTGGGGAGAAGGGTGGAAAAGGAGCTGAATAATAATTGCTCCAAGACCAACAAGAGGAAGTATGCTTTATACAGTGCAGAGCAATTCTTCAAGAGACCCCACCAGATGAAGCAAGGTTGACTGAGAAGAGGGCCTTCTTTGTGGTGGCAGCTACACTGTAGTCTTTTCAGCTCTTTTTTCTAGTCACTTTACTCTTTGTTTCTGTTCTTTTAACTTTGCAACTGTGTTTTATAGCTTTGCACTGCTGCTAGGTTTTCTTTGCTTTTTAACTTTTATTTTATATGATACTCTGAAACTTTCATAGGATGTTCAATGCTGTTACATGTTCTGCTTTGCTCCCAAGAGCTGAAATGAGATGACTGGGCGTCCTGTAATAGCAGCAGCATGTTGTGGTTTTAATCGCTGTGAACTGCACAGAGAGATCTGGCAATTAGGTGGTACAGACATGTAGGACATAGATAAAACAGTGAAGCAAACTCTTTAATTGACTCCCCCAGTTTGTGGCAATGGCTGCCAACTCAGACAGCTCTAAAGGGAAACAGACACTTTCATGGATGAGGAGAAGGCTGCTAAAAGCTGCAAGTGAGGCGAGCTACAGATTTGCTTCCATTTCAGGGCAGTTTTCCTCCAAGTTCCAATGGCTGGGAACATGAGCAGAAGTTCTGTCTGCAGACTTTGCACTGGAGCATCTTGCTTGCCATGCACTGAAAGCCTCACATGCTAAAGGAGGCCTTTGCCTAACCCAGCACAGCTCTTCTCCTATTCTTGCATTTGGGGAAGCCTGAAAGATGGATCTGTTGGGTGGCGTTGCTCAGCTCATCTGCCACTTCTGCGGGGTCAGTGCCTCCTACCACCACCTGTGGTGGGACTGTGACGGCAGGTGCCAGGAAGCTGGTGGGAGAAAGGAATTGTTGCTTCTCCTCCAACAGCCAAACTCCTTGCAGCGGCCCACAACTTGCAGTTAAAAATAACCAAAGCTAGAAAATACAAAATTAGAAAGTAAAACAATATATTTATGTAGTGAAACGTAGGCTGGTTTATATAAGTCATTCTATCAATAGCTGTCATTGCTTAGAAATTGCTTTACTTTGAGCATTTAAATCACACGCTACATCTATCCGTTGTACAGATTAGGCATGGGAGAATCTCCGGTGGCTGGATCTCCAATGGAGTATATATTGAGGGGCAACCTCATGATCACCATCCCCCAAGCCACCCCACAGCCAGACAGTACCCCATGAGAAGCAGCACCCCCTTATCACCAACGCTGCTGCCAGCAGTCTTTGACTGAACCAAGAGGCCTTCTGCAAAGCAAATGATTCTCAACCGCCTGTTCAAGACCAAACCACTGCAAAACGCTTGGTATTACAGCAATGAGCCGAACATTGCTTGGGAAATCCCATTCCCGCCCGGCTGCGGTGAGGTCTGCAGCAAAGCCCAGAGAAAACGGGGAAGTCTAGGGTCTGGAGAGGTGGGGTCACGGCAAGTGAAACCAGCCTGTCTGCTAAGAGACAAATGCTGGTGTGGCGACCCCATGATCCCTGGCTCCATTGTGCCACCACAGACTGCGCATATATGGGGGGTGTGCACACACATGCATGTACCACCCCTTCTGCCGGCACTTCATGCAGCCCTCACAGCCTGTGCATTCTGGTGGAGAGGAAAGAGCGAGAGGTTTTCCTCTGGTCTAATAACACAGGACTGCGCACTGAAGTTGAACAGTGGGACACTCAGGACAGACCAGAAGTTCTTCACACCACACATCATTAATGCAGCATTAGCGACCCAAAGATATGGTGATGATGACTATTAATTCGGGACAGCCTTACAAGGGGATTGGGCAACAACATGCAAGATTAATAACAACAGTTGTATGTTGGGATGGCTGGATGTGCCTCCAGGATCAGAAGCTCCAAGCCTGAGTATCAACAGCAGGAAGGTGCTCCTACCCTCATGTCCAGCTCATGGGCTTCCCAGAGAAACCTGCAAGAACAAGATTGCTGAAGGCCTTGAGTCTAATCCTTCAAGGATCTTCCTCATATTCTTCCTCGAGATATTAGGCTCTTTCTAATATTCTTACTTAATGCCCACAAGGAGAGTGGCCTGAGGTGTGCAGCATCAGTGCCTGGGAATTAGCTGGCTAGGACTTTAAACCGATTCCTACAGGTGAGAGGGAAGTTCACCTGTAACAGCAGACAAAGGCTCATGTGCCACAACAGAGGGAGCAGCTTAAACAGTGGCCAAAAATGGTCTTCCAAAAAATGTAGGGTGAAAGATAAAGTAAAAAGCTCATGGTATTTTCTAATAATGCCCAGAGTATGGAAAACAACCAGCATGAGCTTCAAATCTTAACACAGGAGGGGAATATGGCCTGATGAATATAAATGAAACTTGGTGGGATGATGCCCATGACTGAAATTAAACAACTGAAGGATAAAACCTGCTCAAGAAGAATCGAAAGAAGAGAAAGGGAGGTATAGATGTTAAGATACATATCTCTGCACAGAAATATGGGAGGATGAACTTAGTACTCACATCAAGAACATTTGGCTTAATATAAATGGAGCAAGGAATAAAAGGAA